GGGTTTCACCATGTTGACCAGGATGGTCTCGATCTCTCGACCTCGTGATCCACCCGCCTCGGACTCCCAAAGTGCTGGGATTACAGGCTTGAGCCACCGCGCCGGCCCGGGTCTGGAAATTTTTTACATTAAAAGAGTATCTTACTTTTAAAAAGACTGAGAATAACTGCTCTAGAATGTCCAAGTAACATGACATTGATTTAAAGAAAAACATTCAATAAAAATACAACCACAGGTCACTGACTCGTTAGCGCTGTCATGGCGGGTGTGCTAAAGACCACTGGCCTTGTGGGATTGGCTGTGTGCAAAAGTCCACACAAGAAGCTAAGAATATTGTACAGAAAGATTCTTGATGCTCTTGAGGGAATCCCTAAAAATGCAGCATACATAAAGTATATAGAACAGATTACAAAAGAGAAGCTGGTTATGGTTAAAGCAGCTGAATATGAACTAAGTCTGGCAAGAAAAAGATGACACAGGAACCATGGGAGCTGTCAGTAGAAGAGCCTCCTGCCAATCGATGGAAATGGCCAATATAATTAAGTGACTTTGGTGGGCTGATGGAAAACTGATGTAATTAAATACTATGTTATATTAAGAGCACGTTCATATTACTGACATAAGCAAGAAAAATGACATAAAAAATATCTAGGAGACTGCTAAAATTAGTGATAATGATAATACGGTCATGTGCATCCATTTTTGATTTGTAAAGTATTCACACAAATTATTTCAAAGATTATATTTCTATGAACAGAGAGGTCACAGGAAGATGTGAAAATAATTAGAAAAATTCCTACAGATCTTCAATGTAGAGGCCATAATCAAAAAGTAAAGTTCCTTTAGTAGTATGTTCAACACATCATTTAATTTTTTAAATTATCCTGAAGAAAACAAATTTATAGATTGCTGTTTGAAATAAATAACAGTGAATATTTTCAAATGTGATAAAATAGCACAAGTGACTGTGATAAAATTTGAAATTATGGTGAACCTCCTTAGCTGTGATCTTATGTATGTAAAGTAAAATTTAAATATATAATTATACATTGATTACAAAATCCATAATGTAATTTTATTTTTGTCATTATTTGAATTATACCATTTACTGTTTTCTTATAGTCTTAATTTTATTATATTTTGTTGTTACTGCATTATATTTGAAAACCATCAAATTAGAATGCATTTACAGTTGAAGAAATTGACTTGGTACTTAAAAGAAAGATTTCCCATTGCATAGAGGTACTTGGAAAAACTTTTCCTTTTGTTGCATTTGTGGAAGTTAGTTTTCTGGCCTGTGGCCTTTAATTTTCTTAACCAACCTAATTATATCAGGATAGAGATAGAGTTTCTGTAAAAGAAGATATATTAAGAGTTCCTGAAATTTATATTGGGCATATGGATAGGCCTATATTCAAAACATCTTACTCATATGACTATAAATTCAAAGTGGAATCACTAAGTAGTTTTCAGTATGTTTCCAATGTAAGTATAGGTGGGTACCAAAACAAGACAAATGCTGTTCAGGGAAAGAAGCTGGCAAGCTTAAGGTTAAACAAAAATAAAATTACATGTGTTTTTGCCTTAAAAAAAAACAAACAAACCATCATCACAGGTAAAGGACACAACACATCAATCCTACATTCACAACACAGTGCCCTATATAAGAGGACAAATGCCTTCCTCACAAGAGAGGCCAGCCCTCTAGAGGAAGGACTTTTCGAACTGCTCGATATTTTTTTCATCAGTAACCCTCACGTGTTTGAGGTAATAAGATGACAGATTACATGCTATCCAAAAATAAACACGTTTTGTCAGTTCAGTATTTCCCTCTTTAAAATAAATTTCTGATGAATTACGTATTCACGATTTACCATAAAAAGTTTAATACTATATTAGTTTCATGTAACCTAGAAGATTACCTTTCCTTCACTCACACAATGAGTGCCCAGGGAATGCAAAATAATTAAAACATTAGCCTATGACCTTGTCCCCCAAATTATACCACATCAAAATAATGTGATTTTCATGTTCAAGAATATTTGAATACACCAAAAAAGCCTTGTTATATCATATTAAAATTCTAAAACATATGGTATAAAGACATGTACAAAAATAGGTTTTTAAATTGTCCACAATAAATCCCATTTTTGTTATATGTGTATATATCCATGGAAAACCATCTAGAAGGAGATATACAGTAAAGTATCAACAATGGTTTCCTCTTACTTGAAGGCATAAATAATTTTACTTTTCTTTTTCCTCTTTGCATCATTAGATGTTTTTTCCTTTAAGTTCATTTATAATTCTTCTATTGTTGTCATATATGCAGTAAAATAATTAAAAATCTGATGATAATAATTTTTAATCTGATTAAATAATTTTTAATCCTTAGGACTACATACTTTATAATCTTAATTTAGGATTATAACTTGTTTTTTCTTCATATTCCTTCTTATTATCTACAGTGAATAAGTTCATTCATTCATTTACTTATTTAGAGATGGAGACTTACTGTGCTGCCCAGGCTGATCTCAAACTCCTAGGTTCAAGAGACCCTCCTGCCTCAGCCTCACAAGTGGCTGGGACTTCACAGGTGTGCCACCATGTCTCGCTAAGAACATTTTATGATGGCAAAAAAAAATGTTTAAACAGTCCTGATTTTGACTTACTGGCTCTTGGTGGATTATTGATATAATCTGCTATTAACATCAGAGCAGGAATAATTGTGGCTCCGGCATGCAAGTGTTCAGACAAACCACTGAGGACAACACTCCAAGCACCTGGATTTGGCAGGGTGAGCTGAATTCTAAGAGAATCTGACATGCAAGACCAGAGTTCCACATCCAGCTTGCCCCTGCATCTCTCTAGGCCTCATTTTCCTCACCTGTAAGGTAAGGGGGTATAAGGAAAAGAAAGAAGCCATGCCTACCTGAGGCCCCTTCCAGTGAAATGCTCTATGATTGTAAACAGGGAAAATGCAAATACCATTAATCAAATCTTGCCAGTCATAACCACTTGTCCACCTGCCCAAGATAGATGTGAACTCATTTTACCAATTTGACTACTTGTATTGCTTGAAGGATATTATAGCAAAGATAGAAACACTAGATTAACTAAACATGTTTTTAAAAGGTTTCCATGGCTCACAAATTTTCAACTTTCATAATCTGTGTGGCAATCCTACCCCAAATCAAGGCACATGCAGAAAAGAAGCTCCAACCACAGCAGTCACTTACTGAATGTTTACAGTGTACCAGACACTGGGTAAGTATTAATAGCGTGTTATATCACTCTATAATCCCATGTCTAAGATCTAATGCCTTCCATTTTATATGTATTTAAAAAAAAAAAAAATGTTAAAAAAAAAAAGATCTGAGCCAGGCGCAGTGGCTCACGCCTGTAATCCCAGCACTTTGGGAGGCCGAGGCGGGTGGATCACGAGGTCAAGAGATCGAGACCATCCTGGTCAACATGATGAAACCCCGTCTCTACTAAAAATACAAAAAAAATTTAGCTGGGCATGGTGGTGGGTGGCTGTAATCCCAGCTACTCAGGAGGCTGAGGCAGGAGAATTGCCTGAACCCAGGAGGCGGAGGTTGCGGTGAGCCGAGATCGCGCCATTGCACTCCAGCCTGGGTAACAAGAGCGAAACTCCGTCTCAAAAAAAAAAAAAAAAATCTGTGTGTGAAGAGCAAAAGCTGTTTTCAACAATTGTGCATGCTTATGGGCAGGACATCCAACCGCTCTGTGTAAATATTGCCACCTGTGAAACAGGTCAAATAACCCCTTCCTCTTTCATTTCTTCAACAAATACTCATTGAGCACCTAGTATGTGCCAGGCACTAACTATGGCAAGTGCTTGGGATGCATCAGTGAATAAAATGCCTAAAAAGAACAAGCTGGCACAAAAGTAGTCATGAGAAAGAAAAAGAAAAAAGAAAAAGAGCATAGTGGTTTACACCTCTAATCCCACCACTTTAGTAGGCTGAGGTGGATGGATTGCTTGAGGGCCAGGAGACTAGCATGGGCAACATGGTAAAACCCGATCTCAGCTGGGTGCAGTGGCTCATATCTATAATCTCAGCACTTTGGGAGGTGGTTTCAGTTATCTAACTTAATATACAGGAGGTACGGTACCTCTTGCAGTCTTTATTTCATCTCATTTAATTTTGGGAGGCAGTGGATAACCTAAGGTCTGAATTGCAATCTGTATTTCATCTCAGTTTAAGTCGGGAGGCGGGTGGATCACCTGAGGTCAGGAGTTTGAGTCCAGTTTGACCGAAATGGTGAAACCCTGTCTCTACTAAACACAAAAATCAGCTGTGCATGCTGGCCCATTGCTGTAATGCCAGCTACTCCAGATGCTGAGGCAGGAGAACTGCTTGAACCCAGAAGCCAGAGGTTGCAGTGAGCCAAGATCACGCCATTGCATTTCAGCCTGGGCAACAAGAGCAAAACTCCATCTCAAACAAACAAACAAAAGCTGATCTCTACTAACAATACAAAAACTGGCCAGGCATTGTGGCACGTGCCTGTAGTCCCAGCTACTTGGGATACCGAGGCATGACAATCATAGGAACCCAGGAGGTATAGGTCGCAGTGAGCCGAGATGAAACCACTGCATTCCAGCCTGGGTGACAAAGACCCTGTCTCCAAAAACAAAAACAAAAAGAACAAAAAGTCCTCAAGGAGCTTACACTATAGTACATCATCTCCCTCTCTTCCCCCATTTAAAAAGGAGAAAGCATTAGAAAACAAATCCAATAGAAACGATTAGCTTTGGCCAGGCATGGTAGCTTATGCCTGTAATCCCGCTACTTTGGGAGGCCGAGATGGGAGGATCCCTTGAGGCCAGGAGTTCGAAGAGCCATCAGCTTTGTCAGCCCAAAAAGTAGATATTTTTACTTAATAAACAAATGCAGATGAGCAAAGATGAAGAGCACTTGTACTGGAGTACACTGGCCTGGGTTTGAATTCAGACTCTCACTAATTAGCTAGAGCAACCTTGGGCAAGTTATTCAAACTAAGCCCCAGCTTCTTCATCTGTAAATAGAAATAATAGTGAACTTATAAATCAATGCAAAGATTAAATGAGATGAAATACAGATGCAAGAGGTACAATTCCTCCTGTATATTAAGTTAGGTAACTGAAAAGATGAGGGCAACCTCCCCAGTTGCCACCTTCCAAATCTGCAAAATGAGGATAATTGATAAGACTGTTGTGAGGACTATGAGGATAATGCACAGAAAGCATTTAACATGACTGGCATATGATAGTACATATTTTCTTTTGAAATGATTATTAATGGCCAGGCGTGGTGGCTCATGCCTGTAATCCAGCACTTTGGGAGGCTGAGGCAGGCAGATCATGAGATCAGGAGTTCCAAGACCAGCCTGGTCAATATGGTAAAACTCCCAACTCTACTAAAAATACAAAACTTAGCCAGGTATGGTGATGGGCGCTTGTAATCCCAGCTACTTGGGAGGCTCATGCAGGAGAATGGCTTGAAGCTAGGGGGAGGCGGGCGGAGGTTGCAGTGAGCAAGATCCCGCCACGGCACTCCAGCCTGGGTGACAGAGCAAGACTCTGTCTCAAAAAAATAAAAAAAAAAAAGAAATGATTATTAACAAAAGTGAATGGGGTAGGCAGACATGGCAGCTTTCACTAATGAACCCTATGGCCAAAGCTAGAGAGAAAGAGCTGGGAAAAGCAATCCTGGAAAAGAACGCTGTGCTCCCAAGACCAGGCACCAGGCAGAGACTCCCAGCAGAGAGTTTGCCACACAGTGGGATCAGATGCAGGTGGTTGTGAAATGACAAATGCAACCAAATCTGAGTCACCCAGGGTGACGTCCAGAGCATGTGGATTATGGCAGCCTTGGCTCCGGTTGCCTCTTTCAGGCACTTCCAGCTTTACCAGAGTACTGAAAGAGTAAAGGAGACGAATGGAAAGGGATTATTTGCAGGTTTTTAAGAGGAAGGAGTGTTGGCTATGAAGATAAAATGATTTGGGGGAATTATCAGTAAAAGTCATTTATCTAGATGGGTGAAGGCACTCCTTGTCAAACCTTTTGGACTGAGGCAGAGAACAGCAACAGGTAAAGACTCAGCATGATTCCAAAATTGGGCTGGGGAGGGGAGAGTCAGTAGAGTGGGCTCAAGTCCCACACTACAACACCTGGGACCACGAGCAGGCCCACCAGCTCAAGGTGCTCTGGGCCAGGTGTCCTAACTGACCTGTGGCTCCATTCAACACAGACTGCAGGAAAGCTCTTGGTTCTACCTTCAGTAAACCAGAGGTATTCGCATATATACTCATCTACCAACATTATAAACATGATACATCATTTCAGTAAACAAGCACCCAAAAGGGGCCTACCAGACCAAAGGGATATGAACCAAAACTTCCTATGTCAGGACTAAAGTAGAACCCAGGTTCCCTGCTGCCTGGCCGCACCTTTCCAACAACAGGATGTTACCCCTCTTGAAGGTGGCTCACCTGGAATTGGTAACCACGAAGACACATATTAAGCCAGAGTATGTGATTCAGCTTTTCAACAAGTCTATGGCTCTAAAGAAATAA